TAAAAAAATAAAAAAATAAAAAAATAAAAAAAGGAATTTGAGTCCAGAAACTTTTTAAGCTTTCATTAGTTTCTTTAACCATACAATAGCACAACAATCTGGGGGAAAAAAAAAAAAAAAAAAAAAAAAAAAAAAAATATATATATATATATATATACACACACACACATATATATATTCAGGATGTACAGAGAGTTCAGTTTAGAAAGCTTTTCATGAGCTCTCTCAACAAACCAAAGGAATGAACACTGTAATTTGAAAAGGGAAGAAACATCTTCGTAGTAGGAAGGACCTTTAAAACACAGAAAACAACAACTTTCAAAACAAATTGTTGCTGTCACCCAATTGTCCTTGAATTAGGGTCTTGTAAGCAAAACAAACAAGTACTTAACCAGTTTAAGGAGTGCTAGTAACAATGAGAAGCTTGGGAAGTTTCTTTACTCTAATAACTTTATTCTTAGAGAAATTACAAAGCCACACAGCAATCTACAGGCATTCACTGTTTCATCAATATGTTACCGTCCCTTAATCTGGGAAGGCCCCCAAATTAACACAAAAATTTGCTGCCTTGAAGAGAAAGATGAGTTGTTCTAGGTAGCAGATGCAAGCTGAGTTAATTTCTATCACACTTTAGAATTATGCTAATGTATCTATATTCCAGCCTGTGCCTCTAGTCAGTGGTACTGACCATTTACAACCTGTTACCCAGGTTTAGGGGTGCGATCTATGGCTGTGTTGCTGACCAAAGCCTACAGATCCCCACTCTACTCTGGCTTCACTGGTACCCTGTATAACAAGAGTCAGCAGTGTACACTGCTATAGGCTGGAACTGCTGAGCTAAGGAACCTTGGCCAAATCATTCAAATCTCCCAGGTTCTCAGTTTCTAGTTTTCCTCATCCATGGAATGGAGTTAATAATTAAATAATCTCACATATTTTATATCTATAAAATCAAACCAAAAATAAATATATAAAAAACGCTTAAAGGAGTTTTGTAAAGGATAAAGTTTTCATACATTATTCAACCAGATTAGTTGGCAGAAAACTATCTGACATAAAACTGCCCCTGGGGATAGATGAGTTCATATATAATCTGTTGTGAAAGTCTGTTAATAAAATACTTAGATACACAATAATGGTTATTAAATTCAAAAGACAAGTCTAACGAAGCACTATAAATTGCAGATAAGTAGAATTCTTCAGTATTATAGGAGTTAGAATGAAATATTACTTGAACCTTATGCTGGAAATCACATGGGTGATTTTTTTTTAATGCCAGTTTTATGCATGCCCTCACAGGCTTTCAGGATAAAAGTGCTCTTTGACGATCAGTTATTTTTGTACAGTTCATTTCCTCAATGATGGTTCAATGAAAACACTTTTCACTTGTACCCTTTCCAATATAAACTGCTCAGGTTAATACAGCCCTCCAGCTATAGCCATATTCTTATTTACATAAAGAGAGCAGAAAAAAATGGAAAAACCCACTATAGGCACAGCTATCCATCACTACAAAGAAAAAAGTAGAATGAAACAACAACAGAATTAATGGCAAATATTACTTTTCCAAACACAGGCTAAATGTTCAGAAAAATCCCCTCAGTTTTCCAAACTCACAAATACCCAAAGTAACACAACACTCCTTTCAAACAAACAAAACTGTACCAACTAAAGCATAACCAAAACCCTATGGTGAAATGCTTACGCTAACAAGACCTTCATATAGTTTTAAAATTAAATTTTGCAATGTAGAGTCTGTATGATATAATTTGGAATTGTGAATGAAAATAAGGATATGAAAAATATACTAAGTATTTTCGTCTCTTAGAGACAACCTAATACTTGCAGCCAGAAAGCCTGCAAAATGCTAACAAAATAAAATCTTTGAAAATCATGACTATATTTTCAGTTGACTTAAAACAGTTTTAACCCCTCAATCTCTCTTAGTTATCTTAAATAAGTACACTTCCCTTAAATTTCTTCTTAAACAGACCTAAGATTTTCTTGCAACAAAACCAGATTATTGTGGGATTTAGGTAATCTTTTCTTTTTAAAGATTACATAACTTCTTTCTAACCAATGTTGATGCCTGAGGCTAAATCCTAACCAAGGTAACTGAAAATAGAAATGGAACTGTTAGACTTCCATTTATTAACAAAAATGGAAATTACGTCTTAATTTGCAGAGAACTGTATCTCAGGAATGACTTTCTGAAAAAACTAATCAAAATTATCAAATAGCAAATACTTCATACTAAGCCAATGCAACCAGGTGAGTCGTATTATAACATACATAGAACAACCTACAGTAAAGACAAGAACTAAATGCCTTTTTCTAAGGCTAGTTTTTCTCATTCCCTTAATATTTCCAGATTCAACCGAGGTGTAATGCATCAGACCCTGGAGCCCATGGAAGCGTATTTGTTTCAACTGCCAGGACCATATCGAGCTCTATCCAGAAAAAAATATATATATCCGAATACATGTTCCGCAAAGCCTGCACTAATACCCAACTTAAGAAGCAAACAGAAAACTCAAGAAAGCCCCGCCTTCCACCCCCCCGAGCTTGCCCCACTTTTTTGCTCTTCATTTCCATTTGGTGGTTAAATTAGTACTATACTTATTTGAAGATAAAAGGGGAGAAACCTGTTGGGATGGATTTTTAAAAGATAAACACTACAGATGAATCAGAAATAAGTTGTTCTGAGGAAGTTGTGGACCCATTCATTTTCATACAGCCAAAAGAAGATACATCTACGAGTACTCCGATCAGTGAAGAAGCACCCCGGTAACTGCAGGGAAGATGGGATCTCAGACAAATCCCAGAGAAAGCTACTCTCCCAATAACAACAACAACAACAAAATCTGTGGTTCTTCTCCCAGGCAGCTTCAGAGATGCAGGCTCCGCAACTCACGAGGTGCGGGAATTCGGGTGAAGCTCTGCCACTCACAAGTGCAGCATCTCCAGGATGAGGCGGGCGTGGGGACCGGGTACCTACTCGCTCTACGTCGCCCGAGTCCAAAAAACCCCAGGCGTGGGCGTGCGGACTGCTCCGCGCAGGGACCGAGGGGGAAGCAGCAGAGACGCAAAAGAGACCTGCGGAAGGGAGGAAACGGCCTCGGGTGAAGTCCGGAGCGAGCGCGGAAGCAGCGCTGGAGCTACCCAGCCGCGGGAACGCGAGGGCGCGGGAACGCGAGGGCGCGGCCTCACCTCGCGCGAGGGGCG